GACTCTTTCTGTTACACGATAATATGTCTGTTTTTCATCAGCAGACCTCCACAGTTGCAAGGAAAAGCAAGTGGGATGTTTTCCATGTAAAGCTGGACAAATTTGGAGTCTTGTAATCTTCTTACATTGTGATTTTGGCAGAGTGCAGCTCTCAAAATCATTGCATAACCTTTAAAAACCTGTGACCCTGGGACAATTTAAATTCCATTGGCAAAGCTTCTAGGAGCAGAAAGACCTGATTCTTCTGTGGCCTCTCTAACTTTAAGTTTCTCCATCTAGTTCCCTCCAGGATCTAGTTCAGTAAAGATTTTATGAGTTTCCATAGAGAAGTCTGCACAAAACACAGAAGCTCTCTCTGATCCTTTCTTTTAAAGCAGAAAGGAGAAAAGGGATGTTGTCTTCTGTTGTACTTGTACCAGAACTTAACATGCTAAGTCAGTGGCAAAATGCTTCATTTGGTGGCTCAAACAGAGTTGTGGTCATGTTTCCCTCTCCTTGTGAAGTAACTTCATATCTCATAAAGCCGTGAGCAAAACCAGCAACTCCAGTAGTTGAGCTTCCTCTGGGCATCTTCCCGTGCTCCTTTTAAATCTCACCTACTGGACTGGAGAAGAGCTCAAGATTCACTGATCCAAAGAGATCTAGAATATTAATTTGACTTGAAACTACTGTGATTAGGAAGTTCATATGGGACAGGAATTATGTGGGCTATTATCCCTTGTGCCAGATTTATCAGTTTCATTTGACTGTGGAGCTAGGGATTCTGTCCCAGGAGCTAGACATTTTGGTGAACATGGTTCAAAATAGATTTTATGAGGCCAAAAAGTAAGTAATATTGTTGGGATTACAACTTGAGAGGTACTGGTTTCACAGTCCTGTTCTTGGCCAGTTAGACTGTGCTTTCCTTCAGAGTACAAGCATATTGGACCTTTTCCAGCTCTACTGTCTGTGGTCCTGTCCAGCTATTAGTTCCTTTTTGTTTCAATACAAAGTGGTGTCCTCTGCACTGCGTATTATAGTGTCTATGCAGTCCTGTATTTGCAGTGAATTCAAGGCACCTCTGGAGCTGAGATTCCTTCTTGAAACTCTAAGAGTCATTACTTTGAGGGATAGTGTAAAATGAAATGTAAACATCTGAAATGATCTAAACTTGTAAGTATCATCATTCAGGTTAAAAAGAAAATTACTTTCAGTATCCTTATGTGGAAGCTTGAAAAGACAAATTTTAGGTCATTGACAGGCCAGGTATTCTAAGGACAGGATTGCAGTCTGTGCATTTCTGAATTTACTCTCTTAATGGATGTGTTTTGTTCAAGAAAAGGCATTCAGAGATTCATAAACTCTCACCGATAAGGTAAAATTCTCGTGAATTTGTAGATTAGATCAAATGTTTCTATTGTAGGCTGACTTTTCAAAGCAAAACATTTTTCTCTGTATTGGCTATAAGCCCCCAATATGGCAAGAGGCTCATAAATTGATCCTCCTCATCAATGGAGTCTTCGTAGGCATGGGGCTCTGACAGCACACATTCCCTCGAGAGAATAATGAAGAATCTCCTGGGAAAAGCCCAAATTCTTTGGAGTCAGTGTAGCTGTAGCTGGTTTTGCTGCAATTAGCTTGATCTATAGATTAACCTATGTTGCTGGTTCTGTTCCCAGTGAAGGAGAATTGGTTGCATGTGGTATCAGTGATTATTTTAAAAGTAGCTTCTATTGCTCCTACTTCTGATGTTCTACCCTCTGTTAGAAGTTGAATGTGGACTGGGCATTTTTCCAGCCATGTGATTGCAGCAGGTTACTGTAAATTTTATGATTGGAGTAAAATGGACTCAATACCACAGGGACAGTTTCTGCAAATGCTTATGCAATTGATGGGATTAGTTAAGTGTACGTGTATGTGGCTTTGCAGAATATCAATCCTTCGATGTTTGACTTGTACAGTTATTTCAAAACCAGGCCTGTGCCATGTGTCAAAGGGTACACAGCACCTAGATATTCAAGCTGGACTTCACTTTCCCTGATACCACCTGTGGAGTTTCGTATAATATGAAGATTTGAAAAATTGTGTTTTCTTAAACATCTTCTATTTGGCAAACTCCCACTGTCTTAAGTCATCATTAAAAAATATGCCATGATTCTAAATGCAGTTGTCTCAAATTTAATTGAAATCACCTCTGTTAGGTATGTCTGTGAGCTAATTTCATCAGTCCTTTAAAGCATTTTTCCTGTATTTGAGTACCTGGGGATCTGGAGGTTTTTAAAAGCTGTTGATCAAATGATATGATTTTAAAGTGGCTCATTTAACACTGGGCTATAAATTAAACCAAACTAAGAAGTCAGAAACTGAGTCAGGAATGGGACTCTTTCTCTTATAGGTCCTAATTCCCATGGATTAGGGACAGGACAGAAAATGATCCCTGGTTCATGAACTAAGACAAGAGCAAATCAACAGAGACAGACAAAAAGGGCAATAATAGAATACAGTGACACAAAGCTAATAATCCCGATGAGCATGTTGCCTCATATTCCAGCCTTACTGTTGCTGTGCCTTCTGGGGATATTGCAAAATTATTACTTTTAAGGAAGGCCTTATAGTAGTAGAATGAGTTAGTTTAATGGATATTTAGATTGTGAAGAGCTGTCTTACAGAAGTAATATAAATGCTTGTTGGCAATAGGCCTGTCATTGCTGTCCAGTTACCAGTTGGTGTCTTGATAGTCAGATGTGATGAGAGCCATGAAAAGCTGTAAAAGCATCTTAGCTGATGTCTGCTAGGCTGTCTGTAGTGTGACCACCTCTTGTGTATTGTGCTGTGTAGAGTGGGATCACCGATTTCTTTGACTTGTTGGATATGCTCTTGCTAATGTAGGGCAGTGTGTAATTAACCTTTTTCTGCAAGAATGCACTACTGACTCATACTCAGCTTGTTGTCTACAGGAATCCACAGGTCCTTTTCTGCAGAGCTGCAACCTGTCTAGCCAGTCCTCAGCCTGCAATGATCTCTCCTACCCCAAGTACAGGATATTGTGTTTGTCTTTGTTGAACATCTTGAGGCCCATTTCTCTGGTCTTTCTGAACGGTAGCCCTGCCCTGCAGTTTTTCAGCCATTCCCCCCATGTTTGGTGTCATACATGATTTGCTGAGGGTACTTATGTCCTGTTGTCAGTCATTGATGAAATTTTTAAGCAGCAGCAGCCCCAATATTGATCCCTGAGGAACACCATGCATATCTGACTGCTGCTAGTCTTTGAACCACTGATCATTGTCGTTTAAGCCCAACAGTCCAGACAATATTTCTTCCGTCAGGCAGTCTTGCAGTCCAATCCACTGCATACTTTCCTCGTTTGGCTACCAGGATATTAGAGGAGGCTGTTCTGAAAGCTTTACTGAAGTCAAGGTAGATAAGATCCACTAGCATTAAGAGGCAGCGCAACAGAGATGCAGAAAAACATTACTTAAACTTCCACAGGAAGCCAGAAGCTGCAGGCTAGCAAAAGTAGCAATTTTAGATTAGTGTAAGTGATGTACTAGGGAAGACTGACTCATAGAAACTATGAGAAGAAAAGACTCCAAAATGATTACTATGGCTGATGATGGTGTTTTAGACTCTATTAATTTGTTTCCTAGATTTGACATCTAGCACTTCTTAAAAAAGCAACATGCTCTTTTTCTGACTAATCTCAGTCTGCACTAAGCGTTTTCCCAGTGCACTTTCTTTTAAATTGTGCTACTTCTGTAGCTATGTAATTGCTGCAGGCATCTGTGGAAACCTTCTCCGACCAAAGTTCTCTCAACGAACCTGATTTATTAAATGTGGCACTTCCAAAACAGTGCTGCAGATGAACGAGCATGACCATTGTTGGCTAGAAAGGAGCTTAAAGTCAGAAAGGTTTTAAAATGATTAATCAAGTGTTACTGGCCTAAAGAGGATTCTTTGCTTAGCATTGAGACCTCTTAGAGTCTAGATCCAGCTTAGGCACGTTCTCTGTATGTGCACTTCAGGGTTACAGTAGTTTGTAGTTAGCCTGGTTCCTGGCTGCTTAGTTGCCACAGGCTTTAGTGTTTATTCTGTGTAACTTTTTCCTTTGCCATAAAGGAAAAGCACTGCCAAACTGTGCTGCCCTTGGATTAGGAGTGTTTAGAGTGATGAGACAGTGATTGCAATAGATGGATGCCTGCAACACAGCATTTGGTGCTCACTGACTACTTGTAAAAAGTAATCTGTAGATTGTAGATTATGGATTATGCTTTATAGTTCTGTCTTGGTAGTACAGCAAATAGAACACAGTGGTTATTTCTGTAAAGACTTCATTGTTTCTTATTTATACTCCAGTTTGTTCTAGTTTTCAGTATTTGCTTTTAAACTGTAGTGCAAGTGATTACATGGCTCAAATGATTAATTACTGTGACTTTTACTTTTAGGTTAGTGTTTTATATCTGGGTGCAGCATCAGAAGAGTCCAGTTGTCTGTGAGGGGCTGCATGAAAGAAAGTGGCAGCCTCAGTCCATTTCTAGAGAACAAGTGCTAAATCCTGGGGCTGTAACCAAAGTTGCAAATAAGGAGTCTGTGAAATATATGTAAAATTTGATTTTGCATTTCCAGTTTAGTATTTAGGCACATAACAAAACAGAGACAAGCCTGCATATTTTAAGTCTGCATTAGAGCTCCTCTCAGACTGAAACAAAGTCCTTAGCTTTCAGGCATATTGCTCATGTTTGTTTGTTACTATACTTTTTTAAACACTCAAATTTTCCTGTTTAAAATAATTTTCTTTGCTATGTAAAAAAATAATTCAGGGATGGTATTTGTGGCCCAATGTGAGCTATAATCTACGGTTCAAATTATGTGGAATAGGAATCACATTTCTGCCCTTTTTAAGTTCAACTATTTGTCTAAATTGGTGCGAACAGATTACATGCTAGCTTTTGTTGTATCACTGTTACACGTTACTCTAGAGTACAAATCTATTGATATTTATTGTTTTGAAATCAGTGTGTTCTAGGTCAATGGCTTCCAAAACCCCAGTTGGATTCATTGGGCTGGGTAACATGGGAAATCCAATGGCAAAAAACCTGGTAAAACATGGATATCCAGTTATTGCATATGATGTGTTCCCAGAAGCTTGCAAAGAATTTCAAGACTTGGGTGCTCAGGTATAGTACTAAACTTTTTTTATTCCAACAATAACTGTATATATTGAAGGGTTCTTACATGTGGTATTTTTAAAATAATTTGTTTTTTCTTGGTTAAGATCACAGTTGGAACTAAAAAGGTTAGTGAACACAATCTGAATCTGGGAGGTTTTGCTTGGAGCAAAGTCATGATTCTACCCTAAGTAATTTTCATGCCAATTGCTACCTTGTTGGACTTCTCTTGCTGGATTTTTTTTTCCCTTTTTATGAGAGTAGGTTGTTAGCCTGTTCTTTCACCTCCTTCCTCCTCCCCCAGGTTTAGATGGCCAGTGGGCTGCTTTTCATCTGGTTCCTGCTTTGACCTTTTCAGGTTAGATGACCCTAGTTAAAAAATTCCTGCTGGCATAGCTGTAAGGGTTATAGGGACATACGAGCTTTCCTGCTGCTTCAAGGTGAAGTCCTCAGGGGCAGGGGAAAAATCTAATTATTTAAGTGCTTATTCTCTTGGAGGTGAGGAAAGTTATGGTGAGAGAAGAGGAAGAAATGAAAAAGGAAAAGGAGGGAAGGAAATTGATCACATTAAGGAGGTTTACCTTCCTGCAATATACCCTGCGAAATCTTGGCCCCGTTCCAGTCAGTGCTGTTGCATTTCTTGATCTATTAGTACACCCAGAAACCCATTCAGCCTCTCAGATGATTGAGACTGTCTTTTCTAAGTGTCTGAAATGTGTTTGAATGTTTTTGACACACTTTGAAACTACAGTAGTTTAGATAGTCGTGGTTGGATGGATAGGTGCATAAAACACTGAATAAAAGAATATACTCAAGTAAAAAGAAACCAATGCAAAAATAATACTCTGCTGTGACGGTGTAGAGGATAGGAGGAATTTTTTCCAGTGATGGCAAGGAAATTGTAGGTAGATCTAGACAGAGGAATTCTATGACTTGAAAGTCTAAACTGTTGGAGCTAATTGCAGCTGTTTTAAATAATGAGGACACCTCAAGATTCCCAAAAGATAAAATTATAAAGTGCACCTGTTGTTAATTAATTGCGGCTCTCCCTGAATATTTACAGAATCTTGGCCTTAAGCAGGAAGGTAAGCTTTTCAGCTTGTTTTCTTTGCTACTGTTTTTATTTTGTTAAAACAACTGAGACCCTCAGGCATGAACTGGAGCTGTCTTTGAGTAAGAGGTTGGGCAAATGGAAGGGAAATCTGTTTTGAACAATTGGGTTGCATTTTTAATTCATGTTCTGCAGTGAGATCTCTTTGCTGCGGCTGCCCATCTGGGTACCGTATTGTCATAGTAATAGAATCCTTGGTATCTGCTGCGTGACTTAACATGTGATGTTAAAGGTAAACTGTGATGCTTTTAAAAATAAAGCCAAAACTATGTTTTAAGATTGTAAATCACTAAGACAATACATGGGTAGGCTTAAATACAAATAAAGCACATTTAAAGAAAATATGTGAACAGAACTTCCTCTTCTGGATCTGTAGGTGTAAATCCTACCCCAGCACTTTTTTCAGGACTTGGAAACTTGCGGGTCCAGGGGGCCTTATAGAAACTACTGTAGAAGGAACACTGGGCTCCAAGGGCTGCTTTCTCTTTGTTCTGGCTGGTAGGTTCAAACCATCAGAAGAGTTACAGAGGTGAAAAGATGCCCCCAGGAGACAGTAAATGTCAAATGTCAGTGCTGCTACTAAGCTATATGGAGGACGAGGGATGTTTGATCGTAAGTCTGCATAATCTTTGACTCCACTTCCTTTAGCCTCTGAAGTAAAGAGCTGGGAGGTAGTACATGTCAGGAGGCAGCCACCTGCTTGCTGATGGTGAATAGTAAGGAGAAAACTGGCTGAGCAGGAGCGTATGGAACCGCTTGGGGTGAAGCTTGGAGAAAGTTGCAAGGCTACGAACAAGGGAGAATACTGAACAGTGCTGCGAACAAGTAGGCTGCCTCCACACTCTACTGTCTCTTTCCCCTTCCTCATAGCTATCACTTTCTTTCTTACGCAGCGGAGTGCTTATATGTCACACAGTTACTTTGCTTCAGTTTACATATCTTTGAATCACAGCTCCAATTTGGAAGTTTGAGAGTGTTACTGAAGTAATCTGATGAATAAAGTAGCATAAAAATAGAGCTTTCTTCAGTGTATTCAGTGAGAATGGCATTTCAGGCAAGTGGAATTAATTGACATCAGAAATATAAAGAAAAAATATGGAACCATTTTGGAACAAATTTAAGCAAATGCACATACTGAAGGGCATAAACAATGACCAGTATGAAGAGAAGTCTCCCCTGTCCAGTTGCCTACTGCAAAAGTTTGCTTGATCTGGCAAGTATCAGAACATGTACAGAACTATACTGCTTCTCTGAGCCAGTATGGTCTATGTTAGTAATCAGCAATTAGTTTTTTAAAGTTACACACATATTCTTAATGATTTCAAATGCTTAATGTTTCTTAATAGCTTTTGAATCATTCAGCTTTATTTCTGAGACAGGAAGTCCCAAATAAGAAGAAAGTTTTGTATGCTGCTTGTTGAACCAGGTAGGTAGGTTTCCTCGGGGATTATTAATCATATTTATTACAGTACCAAAAAGCCAAGAATGACAATTCCCACTTTAATTCCCACTTTTTTTGCTGTTTACTTCCTTTCCTCTCCTCTAATAACATACATTGGGACTGAACTGAACCAGAGATACTCAGAACTAAAGACAAAGGTGTCATACTCCTATATAAAGAGCTAGGCTCTCCAGTCTCCAGGGAAGCAAGTCATAAAATTAACTAATCAGGTATAGATGCTTTTCTGCTTATAATTGCCTCATTTATTCTTCCTAACCTTTGTTCTTTGGACTAGAGTATGTTTCCTTTTGTAACTGTGCATTATACCAGATGTTTTGTGTAGTATTAACTTATTCTTTCAAAACAAAAACTGCATATTTCTAAGTCACATCTATACCAGTTTCTTTACTTATTTTTGAGAGAGAGCTTTGCTCAGTGGATATATACAGTCTTCCCTTCTTCTACTTATTTTACAATAAGTAAAACAAAAATCAGGAAGTTTATCATGCTGTTTCCCAGAAAACCTTCAAGATATTATTCAGGATTTCTTACAAATGCATATATACTTTTCTTTCTTTGATGCTGAGACCTCATAAAAGCATTGTATATAAAAAGATAATGTATAAGTGCCTTTAGTATCAAAACTAACAAAAATGTAACAAGTACCTGTAGTTAAAAATAGATAAGGAATGGTGAAACAAGGCCATCAATTTGTAGATTTGTCTACATTATGGAAAGGAACCAATTTTTGAGGTATTTTGAGAATTTCTTTAACCATCAGAAATTCTTTAACCATGGAAATTCTAATTTTTTCATACTGACCAATAACTGCATATAAAATTTTGCTTAAGACATTTCTTAAAGTTTAAAAACCCAAGGCATATAGTATATCTAGCAGAATAGATCATTGTAATATTAAGGTTCATCTCCATCATTCAACAACCATAACTGGAAAATATATACTACAAGCCCTATCCACAAACAAAATCTACTTTCTGCTTATCTTGCTTCCTGCTTGGAAAGTAATTCCTCTCAGTAAAACTACCTGAATGAGTGAAATCAGATTTGATCCTTGTGGGCTGAAGATAAAACAGTAAGCTGTAGTTTTTTGTTGCTGTTTTCCCGGAGCTATGAATGTATTAACAATGCAATTTTTAAAGAAATGAAGTATTTACAACTAATATTGGACAAAAATATTAGTGGCAAATGCCTTCTGTGTAAAACTCTGGGTTCTTTGAGTTCATCGGCAAAACTCAGTACTTTAGCTGTCAGTATTTTATTTGCTGTGTACATATATTAAACACCATACTGCCTGCCTCTGAGAATGAGCTTGGGAAGGTAAGTTAGATATGTTTATTTAACGACAAATAGCTAACAATATGTTTTGAAACATTCAGACATTTTTGCTGAAGTGTGCTTGAGCTGTTAATTTTATTTTTTTTTAAATGTCAGAGAATCATCAGTTAGTTTATCAGACTTTTTTGTGAAGTGTGCTTGAGTTGTTAATTTTATTTTTTTTAAATGTCAGCCATAATATTATGAGAATCATCAGTTAGTTTATCAGACTTTTTTTAAGGGGAGGCTCAGAGGTACATTAAGCCTTTTTTTCTTTTTTCCTCAGTCTTCCTCTCTTCCAATGCTTTATATAAGCCAAGGAAAAAAGTGAGATTTTTGTCATCCTTAGTGTTGTCCCTCCTTAGAATCATTGTAGAGTGATATTTTGTGTAGATCCATGGTTTATAATGAGTTGAAGATTCATGAATAGGTTGATGAAATGCAAGCATCCCCATTGATGCTTCTGTGACATGACATCCTTTTAATTTTTTTTTTTATTTTTCTGTTGCTGGATCCAATTAATTGACTTTTCCATTAGGAGAGTAGAGTTTGTCTTGTGTTCTAATTTTTTATCTAGCTTAGTTGTGACTGGTGACCTGCAAATACTAAAAACAAACTCAGCAAACACGTTTGACATTTCATTTTCAGGAAATGTAAGCTTATATAATTATATGTTTTTTTTCTTTAAAAGGTAACAGATTCCCCAGCAGATGTAGCAGAAAAAGCAGACAGAATTATTACCATGCTGCCTTCTAGTCCCAATGCGATAGAAGTTTACACAGGAGCAAATGGAATTTTAAAGTAAGAATTTGCTGTAGTCTGGAGAATTCCCACTCCTACTCAAGGCTGTGTTACACCGTTTGTCAAATGATTGCTGTTGCTGTAACTCTTGCTGTGCCTTCGGGGCACTTAACTTGATGTTCTCTGGTTTGTCACCATTGCTATGTCTCATTACATGAGCTGGCTTAAGCTGTGCTTTCTTTTGAATAGTTTTTGGCTAAAGTCTCAGTTTTATTTTCGGAAGAATTTGAGACAACTGAACTGAATATTACCTACCTTCTTATTTGCATGTTTCCTTTAGTGTAATGTAATGTACTACAGAGGAGTGTAACTAAAATGTTATTTGCTCAAATACTTTCTTCTTTAACTTGAAATCCTGTAACTGAAATCTGTCTCATAATAATAAAGTGTATTTACAAGGTTTTATTGATGTCTGCTCTTATTATCTGTTTATTACACAGGAAAATATCTAAAGAGTCTGTTTAATCTGAAACAATGAGTTTTAACTTTTGCGGAGGGATTTCCACGGAGCCTAAAATCCATAGTTTGCAGAATTCTAATAGAGTTTTTGGACTTGCCAAATTAAAAAATAAATAGTATTTAAAAGGCTTTCCTGGCACAGCTCCTATCAGGCTGACTAAAACTACTGATCCTACCTTTGAGGATCATGTGGGATCTTACTGCTATCCAGGTTAACAATGTAAAGGAAGGAACATGCAGCAGCCAAAAGTACAGTTGATTACTTAAAACTGATGATAGCTTTTTTAGGTATTGATCATAGGCAATATTAAGGTGCAGTGATTAGAAAGTCAAACAGAGATTTTCTCTTCTCCTTCCCATACAGAAAATACTAGTTGCTTCCTTCCCTTTCTGCCTACAGTTTAATTCCCCACGAAGTAGGACTGAGCAGATCTAAGCAGCTGCAGCTTAGACCCTTCAGGGAAGTAAGGTAACGGATCAGTCCCACAAAGCTGGGCAAACAGCTGTGGGAGAATTGTGTCCAGGATGGCAGTACTTTGAAGACCAATTGGCAGTACTTGCAGACAGTTAATCTTTTGAGTACCTAGATGTGGAAAATACTGCAAAGATCAGAGGTTGTGGAAAGCAGTCCTATGCTGCTGCAGTTTCTCAGCCTCCGTATTCAAAAAAAGGAGGTGTAATTTGACAGTAGCGGTTAATTGTTGCTCTGAGTTACCTGATCCTTGGTGACTGGTTTGACTTTGATTGTTTTCTGAAGCTTTTTAAGCTTTACTGAAGAAAACATTGATGCTGTGGCGTGTTTAATGCTTAACTTAGTCATCTCACTGTGTTACCAAGGAGGCTGTGCCACTGTTCCTTATTCTGAACGTAAGGGGAGATGATGTAGTACTATATCTGCCATGCTGGTTTTCGTCTGCAAACTGCAGCAGCTGATCCCTTCTGTGAAAAGGAACAGGTTCTGTGCCTCTGTTTGAGTCTGGACCTACCATGGGGTCCACAGCTGTATGTATATACTGACTATTTCCAGCTAAGTAATTTGATTCAGTGAAATTCACTGTACTGCCAACAGCATGCAAGGTACAGGGAGGCTCTTCATCTGTCATGTCTAGCTTTAAATTGCTCACCTTTTTATGACTGAAAAATTATGTTGTTTGGTTATGTGGTGTTTACTGATCTAGTGGACATTAAATCATGGTGCAATTGAATGGAAAGAGGGATAAAAATATAATCAATTTTTTGTTGTTGAGGGCATTAAAAATTTACTTTAATTGCATTTTTCTGAAACACATATACAACTTTTTGTGTTCTACAATTTGGAATACAATTCTGCCTAAATTTACTAGCTGTCAGTGGGAGAACTTAACATTTTTCTCCGTGCTTCACTTTAAATATGCAGTGGGCTTTTGTGGTGTTAGTTATAATCTTTGTGTAGAATAAATTGTAAGAATGATTAAAAATGCAATCAGGCTATTCTGAGAAGAACTTAAGATATTGTGTATATAGAGAAAGAAAATTGTATTATTATATATTAAATTTTAGGCTGTGTCAACATTTAGTTCAGTTTCTTAGAATGCGTGTTAGATGATCTGTATATGATATACTGCTCGAGCTCGCATGATGGCAGATTTCCCTAGTGCACCCTTTTTGTGTAATTGTTTTATAATGGTATTTAGGAAGAACATCCTTTTTTGTGTTCAGGTTTTATTGTGTTTTGAGTAATTTAAAATGGTGCAGTATACATACTCAGGAGTATACATACTGAGGAGATCTTGTTCAACAGTGTTTAAAACTTGGTGTTAATTAGTGTACCAGAAAGTGTCTATATATTAATCATGCTGAAGAAAGACACTGCTATGGTAATAGTTACAGATGTCTTGTGCAACAAATACTTAATAATTAATCTTTATTTCAGGAAAGTGAAGAAGGGATCATTGCTAATAGATTCCAGTACTATAGACCCTGCAGTTTCAAAAGAATTAGCCAAAGCAGTTGAAAAAATGGGAGCTGTTTTCATGGATGCCCCAGTTTCTGGAGGTAAGTCTTCATTAACAGTTTACCTTATACTGAACATGTCTCTTTGTTTGCAATCTAAATATCCCCGTTGGTACATGTTACTTTTCTTTGCTATATGTAAAGTATTTGGGGTTTTGTTCCATTACATTAAAGAAATGTATGTTGTTTTAGGAATATTTTCAGAGTATAAGAATATGCTTTTGTGTTAGACCTGCAGAAACTGAGCTTTCACATGATATAGTACAGTGATCCATTTAGTTTAATTTCTTTCAGAAAGTTATATTTTTATGCAGGTAATCACATGTCTTCAGTCTCCATCCATTTCTTTCTGTTAGGCAAAGACTGTTTGGTAACCATTAAGCAGTTCTGCTACTTTTTGATTAATTAAAAAGGAGAGAAGGAAGAGGGGAAGAAAGAATTTCATTGTCAAGAAAAACAGAGCTTTCCTCTGGTTTTATAACAGTTGAAGAATGTGGGTGATACTTGTCTATTCTTGAAGTTGCTAACTATTGATCTCATGAGTATTTAATCTCTTTTAAGAAATAATGTAGAGCAGGCAAGACTTTCATTTTGTGGACAGAGTAGAGCAGAAGCATAAAATTAAGGTTTTGAAAACAAAACCATAGCTGATTGTTACTATTATTAAATTCCTTAAAACACCTGGGACTGGAAGATGGGGAAAACCCATTTCGCATTTTTTACAATCCACTCTAAAAATTAATGTAAGTGTCATCATGAGAATTCTTTATTTTCCTATCTTTAATGAGGTAATTCAGAGAGTTATACCTGAAAGAGATTAAAAATGCAAAGGGTAGGAGAGAGTTTGGCCTTACAGAGATTGTCAAAGGTATGATGCACAAGCTAGAAAGACCATAACCTGAACTTCAGATCATGAAGATGAGTGTGGTAAGGAGAAAAAACTAACCATCTTTTTAATTTTCAACTGAAAACTAAGGCTACACGCTAGACGCCAGAATTTTCATCCAAATTCTAATGTGGACAGGAAATAGGAAAACCTGGGTAGGTGATATTGAAGAATATAATGGGGAAGACAAGATTATTGCTTCCCAGACAAAATATTATTTCTTGTTTTATAAAGTTAGCCTGGGAATAAAAACCACAGAAAAAAGTGTGTTTTGGGTGGATTATGTATCTGTCTGATCCATTTCTAAATACAGCATGGCCTTCTGTTTATCAGTTGGGCAATTCTGACATATTTTATATGGTTTTCTTCAATCCCTTTCCCCCAATTATTATTCCTCAGGTTGTTTACCTGAGGGAATTATTTAGCTTTTAGCAATGTCTGTGGTTTGTTTTTACCTGTAAGTTTTTGCTTTAAGGCTGACTATTCTATAACTACAAAGAAAGAAATAAAAGTTTGATTCCAAAACAGCCGTAGCTGTTTTGGGGGTTTTGTTCTTTGAGAAAATTGTCATGTTGAGACTCGGTTAATATGATAACATACAGTTGACTAGTCTGAATACAGATGGCTTTTTTGGTGTTAGTGGTTTATCTGAATACAAATTATTTGGTGTTTAAAGTCAGTTAAAGATTGAGTGATATTCTGAAGGAGGGGGAAAGAACTGATACTTAGCTTTCTAGTATATCATACGTTTTGTGGTTTCCAAGGAGCACTCTGTACAAATCATATTTAAAGTGGGCAGTTTCTAGAAGTGTGGAGAAATTAGGTATGTTAGAAAAAGCTTTAATGTTATGCTTTACTCTTGCCATCTTTCAAGAACTAACACATCAAGTCTTTGGGGTATTTTTGTAAGTCCTGACTGCATTTTTGGCCTTTAGACAAAGCAATAAATGGAGAAGTATGCTCCGCTCTCTAGAAATTGGCAGGCATTATTCTGTTGCTGTGCAATGCAGTAGACTTGGCAGGAGTGTGAGGGAGGGTGTTTGTGGGACACAGTGAGGAGGAAGAGAAAGCAGCATGCCTGAACTGTTGTCTTTAGACCTCTCTGTTTACTAGCTGTTATTGGCAGACAATTCCATTTGTGTTTTTAGGTATTTGGGTGTTGCCTGATGGACATTAATGTTCATCTGCACTGTGAACAAGTTATTTCACAAACTGAATTATATTTTGAAAATTGCTTGGTCTATAAACATTATGGAGAAATAGGGATGATTTTAATTCTGTCTTGACATAGCAAATGAAGTATTTTAAGGTCTAGCATTAGTGACAGATTTTAGTGGCTTGTTTGCAGCCTTACCCCTGAAAGATTCTTTCGCTTGATCTTTTTCAGATGGGCCTGTGTGCTGTTGTAGTGCTTTCTTCTTCATATGGTTGGCCTACAGCATTTACTTGCAGTTTACAGTCAGGACCCATTAAGTAGAAGTTGATACACCAAGATGCTATAGTGTTTTTCTGTATTAACTGGCTTTGGAAAATACTTATCATCCCAGTAGCTGCATGCAGATTATTCTGCTAATGCCGTCTAGAGACAGCAATCACTTTACCCTGGGATTAGGATCTCTTGAAAGTCCACATGAGAAAGTTGTGTCACAGTTCCCAGTGCTGCCCTGATTTGTGAGCTTTGTGAGTGTATGACAAATGAGGAAACATATTCAAAATCTGTGTTTATTTAATGTTTTTTTTTAAATTCTAGAGGAGCAAATTTATCTTTTTGTGAATATTAAATTCTGCATCCCTGTGTGTATAAAAGGCTATTAAAGCACACATTATCACAGAAGCATATTTAAAACTGACTTCTCTTGGCACTGAAGACACTACTGGCTGAGTAAGGGATCTAAATTTAGCCTTTGAGAATTGTGCTGAGTTTGTCCTCCCACTGATTTCACTGAAAGTATGATACAGATTCTCAGCTTGCAGCCCAGAGCAAACGTTACTAGTATTTTCACCAAACGTTACTAGTAGTTTCACTGATGCTGCTGTAACATTTCTCTCTTTTTAATTCAGTATACAAAATATGCATACTCTAAAGTACAGTGGGTGAAATGGTTTTTTTAAATTTCTGCTGTGATGTTTTCTTCATTGCTAGCATTGTTAGTGTTCAGATATTACCTTTTCCAATTTTTTCCCTTCCACTGACTCTTGAAATTATGTCAGCTCCTCTTCTGCTCAAAATATGTTGTACTGCATTCTGCTGGAACTTCACAAAATATGTGCCAGTTCAATTTGTTTTTCTGTTTTTGGAGTTATGGAGAAACTTTTAAATTCTTTTGTAAGTATGGTTCCTTAGATCTGATAATGCAACTTTGTCAGATCTTTCCACTCACTATCTACTTTAGCCAAGACAGTTGTCAATAAAAAAGTCAGTCTGCTAATTGTGAGCTGTCTTGTAGAGAACTGTGTTCATGCTAAAATGGTAATAAAGAGTAGAATAAACCTTTTTTTTGCGTAGGAACCATGGGCTGGAACTGGTTAGAAAAGGTTGGAGTTTCTATTCCAGCTGTCATTTCAAACTGTTTCATCTTAACAGTATTACTTCCATAAGCTCCAGCTAACTGTTAAGTGATGGAAAGAATACTAGTAGTAACACTGACAAATTGAGACTTCAGCTTTCTGGTAATGGAGTAAAATATGAATCCTCGAAGACTGAGTTGCAGACTTGTTTTATGTATGGCCAAATCTGTACTTAACATGGAACAAAGAATAGGGATGCTTAGAAATAGTGTGAAGATCTTTTCTCTGAATTCCTTTCAGAAAGCAATATATTTCATGGCTCCAGCTTTAAAAACAAAACAAAACACCTTGTCAAAACTAGAGAAGTGAATGTATTCAGTGGCATGATCAGACTGATATCAGAGATGAAATAGGCCAAACAGCATAATTGGTGAATGTGTTTCTCTTACTTGAACGTTGAGGTTTTAATGCAGTGTCTCTTCCAAGGGAAGCGGAGGAGAGGGCCTTGCAGAACAGTTAAGACTATGTCTGTGAACACTAGTGCTTGCAAAGATGATTTGAAAGATGTTTTAAGAGTAGACTGAATAATAAAAAATGAGTCATTCAAATGTTGCATCTCAGCTTGTAAGTTCTATTGTATTAAGAAAACCTCATCAATACGTTTGCCAGAATAAAGCTGGTTGATAGACCTCTCTTCTGTTGGAGAGTCTTCTTAGAGCTACTTTTAAACTGACTTTCCTAGGTTGTATCTCTTTGTTTCTTTAGCTTTGTGAATTTTTAGAGAAATGCAATCTTATGACTTTATGAGAGTGGAAGAGTTGGTTGATTCAACGTCTCTAATTTGAGAGATTACATACTTTTTTAGTAAACAGAAAACATGAAATAAACAAACTCCTGTATTCAGTGGTATAGAGGTCATGTTTGGTTTTGGCTTTTTGGCCTGCTAATGCCGTGACTGGAATATCTGTTAGGATCCTTGAAACACTGTCAAGACAAAGCAGATTCATTAATTTAGAGCTAATAATTTTGACCTGTCATCCTCAATGACAGGTGTTCTAGTTGGTGAGGAAAAGATCAAAAGGCATAGCAATATTTACTCCATTGTTATTTATGCTTCTATGCTTTATTTTTAAAGCCTGAACATGTGTACTCACAATGGCCACGATGTTCTCTGTGCTCTGGTACCGAGCGTAGCATTTTCACTTCACTTCTGCTCTTCCTCAGCCACTCCGTGTCTTGCCTAATCTTTCCTTTCCTGACATGTTTCTTAATTTCTCTGTTTACATTTTTGCTGAATGCATCTGATCATATTAATTTTTTGCAAAGTTATGATCTAGAGATGGTAATAGAAATTATGATGTACAACTTTAATGTAAAAGGTAGTATGAAACATTGAGTTATTCTGAAATTTAAATGAGGTAGAAGTACTGCAGGAAGTAACTGATAACAAAAAAGGCAAGGATTGGGTAAACTGATTTAAGGAAGCTGAAATGAGGACAAAGAAATACTTTGAAATCTGAGATGCTTAAAAAGCTTCTGATTCCTAATAACTTATGTTTTAAACTATTTAACAATACTTATGTTTGACAAAACAAAGTTAGTTTAATAGGCTTATTTTGTTGGAAAGGAATTAAGATCTTTAAGATCTTGAAGATGTTACGCATTGGCAAAATGCATATTTTGACAATGGGAAGGGAGGAAGTATAAACCCTGTGCAGAAATCACAATGTTGGCAGCAGCTGCTGTTGCAGAGTTATATAGTACATTTACTGCTGTGCTGACTTTGCAAGCCTATTTTTCTTCTGTGAGTCTACTATGCTTTTTATTTTATTTTATGGAGAATACAAAAGGCAGCAGAGGGCAAGGAAGAATAAACAGATTTGTTGAGAGTGTGATCTAAAAATGTTCACTGGGGTGGAGACAGTTGTTCCTACAATGACTAAAGGCTGGAATGACTGATTTTATTAAAGTATAGGGTATATTTTGAATATAAAACTGTATGTAGTCTGGCCAACTAGTGACCGATGTGTAGGAAAACATATCTGTCTCCAATTATTCAAAGGTGTAAAGATGAGTTATTCAGGCTGACCCAGTGGGATATAACCAGGAATAATAGGCTGGAAATTATTAAGGAAAGAAAAATGCATGCTGTGTCTACCAGGAAAAACTGCCTAACAACATTCTTCATACACTGTGGAATAATTTTCCAAAGGAGATGGTTGAAGCCAAATATCTCGACATGCTTTAAACTGTACTGGGCAAAGTGCTAGGAACTGTTCTGTAGGGATTTAACTGGCAGGAGGATGGCTACGTGATCTAATAAGTCTTTTTCATCTCTAATGTCTACAATTCTGTTGTTTTCTCACACATGGTGTTCAAAAACAGTTAATGGAAAACTGTCCAGATGGAAGTTAAAAATCCCTGTGGCACTCTTTGAAAAAGAGTAAGGGATAACTAAAGAGTTAGAGCCAACATTCCTTTTCTCAGTAAAACTGGTTGTAATATCCACGGCTGTATGTGAGCTGTTACCACATTCCTAATAGCTGCTCTGTTTGCTTGTGGTTACTTTAATGCTGATATTTGGCTCATCCTGTCAATTGTTCTGAGATACACAGACTAAGGAAGATCTTCAAATTTCAGCCTGTCATAAGTCCTAAGGAATAAAAATTGATTTAATTTAATTTTTAAAATTTTGATTGCTTCTTCTAGAGAACTTTTAAAGTTAAGGAGTTGCAGGTGGTACTTGGAAATGTTTCTGGAATGCAGTGATGACTTTGAAGCTTTCTACAAAGTTTGTTTTGGTTTTAAATGTTGATAGGCTTCTTATTCTCTCTTTTTGCTCTTTAAATGGAGCCTCTTGTTCAAAGTGTGTGCTTTTCATTTAGTCAAAAAACCTAGCATGACTTCTGTGCTTGGGACAGTAGGGATGATGAGCACCAGACCTTAATAATCCCCTTGACTCCTTCTGAGTCCTAATTCCATACAACGCTGAATATGGATGGCACACATGTTGGCACTGAGCCAGGCACCAAAGCACACCAGAGGAGCAAGTAAAAACGGGAAGGTGCAGCACAGAGTAGAAGTAGGAGTACACTGTGCCTGCAGAGCAGCCTTCAGTGTGGGGACAGTCCCTACCAACTGCAAGCATTGGAGGTGCCACTGGAGAAAATGCAGCTTAATCTGAATCTTAATGCAAAGCGGTTGTACTTGCAATTCATTGTTGCCTTAAACAGACGTTTTCAGTCTGTGGGTGCAACTCCTGTTGTTTAAAAAAATAAATGTCCAGAGAAACCTGACGTACTTAAGTGCATTGGGCCACTGAAGACTTAGAATTACGTTTTATTTTGTCTCTTATTCAGCAAGGGAAATCTGCAGATCTTACACTAGACATGTAAGAAAAAACTAACATCCTAAGTACCTGAACCAAAGTCTTAGGGCGCATTTGTGCAAACTACTCAGTGTTGAAGTTGTGCTAATAAAAAGGGGAGAATATTCTAGCAGAAGTACTCCCTCTGCACCTTAAACGAATATCTGAAAATCACTCCGTGTTTATAGTGCTTACTGCAGTATTGCCCCCTGTGAGACAATTCAATACCTTGAGCTTTTGTCCTTAGCAGGACTGCTCCTGGTTAATCCACAGAGAGCACATAGAAATAGCCAGATTTCCTAATTCTTCCTCCAACCACATTTTTAAAAACCATGATTTATGTGATTAAATAGAAGTGTGAGGGAAAAAGTATTGCCTTTTACTGTTGATAAGAATTTAGAATTCAGCTGTGAGCATACAAACTGTGTAAACATCCACCTTGCAGTTTGTCCAATGGTATTTAGTCCTGTTGGCTCGCTGCTTCAATCTACTGAAATGCAGAGTACAGAGGAGAGTCATGCAGTTCCAAAGCTGAAGTACAGTTCTCTTCATGCCAAGCACGATGTAGGACCTGAAGTGAAAACAAAAGGATTTACTACACTGTATTTGACCTGCAACTTTAACCCTTAAAACCTAGTTATCATTTTAATTCCTGTAGTATCGCTGGGACATGGCGTGTGGAATTTCCTCAACCTTAGACAGCTTTAACCTGTATCTGTTCATAAGAAGAGTTAAAGGGTGGCTTGACAGGAACAGAGTAACACATGGAAATGTCACTCTAATGCTGACCCTTCAGTTTCTGTTCCTGGTTTTGTAAGCAGTTGCATTTTAATTATTCTGTCCTGTGGAAGAATGTTAAATTTGTCTGCAGTACAATGAAGGGTGGAGTGTGAAACACTGTGTACACTTTATTAAAACCTTTATATATTTTAAATAAATCCACATAATGATTTGATAGGGTCCCTTTATGTTGTTTAACTATTGGTAAACTAATGGGGTTTTTAAATGTGTAGTTTAGATCATTGGCAACAATACTAATCTGACACGTAATTATCATCCATTTGCTTTATGATATGAGTTGCTGCAAATTTTGTAAGATCCTAGTTACCCAGTAACTATAGTTTAACCACATGCAATCGGAAACAACACATTTTTGCTGTCATTTTGTTTTCAGTCTGTGGTTCCTTTCTGAAAATGTATGGTGAGAATGTGTGGCTCGTGACTGTTAGTATATTTGCCAGTGGGAGTACAGAGAAAGTCATGTTGACTTTTAGCTCTGGCTGAGGAGTGTAATACTTGTATTTCTCTTGTGTTATATTTCTTGGTTTTGCTTAAAATTGTAACTTTTCAGAAATCAATATAAAAGTAAGTTGTAGATAATCTGTACAGGTATATGACTATACAGAGTTAGCTCTTCAAACTTGGTTGGTTTCTGATATCCAGCATTTTCCTGATTAAACTGTTTCCCAGAATTGCTACAATTGCTACTAGTCTGAAAGCAGTATTTGGGAGCAGTTTTGATTTTGTCTTGACTAAGGCATTTTAGATTGAGTATGCTGGAAGAATAGAGATTTCCTCTCTTTTAAAAGTTGCAGGACAATTGGAGAAAGGAATTTTCCGTAGCATTATCAGCATGTGGAATATTGTAATAGAGCTCTAGTTAGAGTAAACTAGGAGTGTGTATAGCTTTCCTATTTTTGCAGATACTCATCTTAGAATTTATATTAGCAGGGATTTAGACGTGATGCTGGGGCAGTGGGAAGGTTTTGTAGTGGAAGTTCTAAATGAGAAGCTGATGTGACTTTGGCAAGCAGGAGAATTTCATGAGATAGAGCATCTTCTTAGCAGCCTTGGCCTGAATCCTGGCTTCCTCTGAGGGCTCCCACCCTATCCAAGATGGAAGTTCCCACAGAGAGCACTAATAGCATCCCCTCATTGCCTCAACGTATCATGCTAAGGCATGGGGCTTGACTGCTGTGAAACAGTGCAATAAATGCCTCCTGGGGCCAAAATGGACGTATCTGATCACCTAAATGCATCATTCTTGTGCTAGAACAAACTGGACTGTAGGAGGGCATTTCTTTTAGTGGTGGAGCAACTGGCACACCTAATAAAGAAGAAGGTGATTAAACTGTTACTGTTTGGTTACTGGCACTTTTTTCCCACTGTATTAGTATGCTTAGCAATTCTTAACACTGACTGTGTGACTATGTGCACTTACTTAGTATGTTGTTTTTCTTAGCAGACAATTATACCAATCTTGAATGGACCATTTTTTTGGTAACTGGGTTGAAGGATTCTTAGAAGATTGAAACAGTAGGCAGCAAAGCTTGTTAAGGAGTTTTTATTTTACAAGCCCTCAAGAATTCAGAATATGGCTTGCTTACTACTTTGGAAAGTCCAAAAGTCCCTTATAGACTCCATTTCAGAGCCAGCATCAAATCTATGCTATACTTGTCTAAAAATCCAAACATGCACTCTTGGCCGTTACTGTTTACGGAATCAGAACCCTACTGTTTCCACTTGCACTGTATCTAATTTATCGTAAGTGACCACAAAACCTAAAATTATTTATATGTTGGCACCTAACAGCTCCACTATAGTTAAGGATCTGTTGGCATTTCCATTATAAACCTTCCCTTTGAGAGGTTTATAACTTGGCGGTTTTACTTTTGCTTCAGGCTCAAATGTGCCATTTTCATCCAAGCACAAATTCTTCTACTGAATTTCATTTAAATCAGTTTGGCCATTATTTATTTTAGAGTGTGTATGTGGGGGAGTGGAAGGGAACACAGTATTTAATTTTGGTTTCAGAAGATTTTTGGTCAGACTATGTAATGAAAGAAAAATGGTGCTTTTTATTTTATTTTGTAGGTACTTAACCCTTCCTTGGATGTGTAAAAGTTACCAAAACCATGCTTTTTCAGGTTGTTCCCAATGCTCATGTGCCACACATCCAGTCCCACCCGCACACCCACCTCGCCTGCCCCTACTCAATGACATGCTTTGGGGAAGCATCCCCTGGCTTCTGGCAGTGAAAGGTTTTTGAGGAGTAGATGCTGTAATGTGCAGTGGATGCTCTGTTGAGAGGCCTCAAGCCAACCAGTCCAACTGAGGAACAGATGGAGCTTAATTGGAAAAAGACAGGCCAAATGCAATTGTCAGTCAAATGCAAGCCTATGTGGTTAAGAGTGGCATTTCCTATGGCTCTGCCATTTCTTGTGGGATGTGTGTAAATTACTGCTTGGGTGCAGTAAACCTCAGAGTCTATAAGTGGTGTGAGTTGCCATTTTTCCTTGCTCCTGAATGCTGAACCACAGAGGAATTTCAGCTCTTTTTTAGTCTTAAATTCTTGCCATAGTACTGTATTATTATGCTAATTAAATTCTCATCACACAAATAGTACATATCTTTAGTGTTTCAGTACTAATCGTAGTAACACAGTACCAGTGTTCTTTTGCATCATGGTTTAAGAATACAAAGGGAAATAGTGTACAGAGAGGTAGAAGCTTTTATTAGACCAAATAATACAGTTGAAAATAGAAAACAAGTTTCTGAGACAGTTCTTTCATCACATTGCACAAGAAGCAGTCAAGTACAATAGCTTTTTTTTTTTTGCCTTTGCTATTGAATTACTCCCAAGAAAAAGCTACTCAATGGAAAACAAAATGGGGAGAGGATATGTGGTTTGGCAGCTTCTTGTGTACTTATAATTTTGAGGTCTTCTTTTTTCAGGTAGTTCATGCAGATTACTGACTGGACAAACAAGTAATAAAACTGCTTTGTTCTGTTTTGTCTCCTGTTTTATTAACAAGAGGGAGAAGGAGAGCACGAGTATAATTAATTATGGCAGCAGATACCAACAGCTTATTGAACGATAGGGCATTAGATCTCATTGAAGCATTTGAAAGTCTTCTCTATCTTGCTTTTTTTCCCTAATTCCAGATGTTAATGAATTCATAAGTCAAATATTCCAAATCTTGAATGTTTTAGAGACAACTCATTTTACATTTTATTAGTTTATTTTTAGTTAGTTGGCATTAACATTTAAGAGCACTGAAGGCTAAAACTTCAGTATATATTAAAACCTTCTATTTTCAGCTTTGGACTCTGGAAACAGAAGCTTACAGAAACAGCAAATGTCACAAGACACATTATTAGTTCATCAAAACTTTTAATTTTAATAACATTTTCACTAGTATCACTTTATTGCTAAGGATCAAGAAATTTAAACTATATGCAGTCATGGGAAAGAAAATCATTAGAAGTACCTTAATAGAGCACATCTCTAAAGCTCCAATTCAGCACAAAACACTTAAGCATCTGCCTAAGTCCGTCCGTTTCAGTGGGAATTCAGAGCAAGTTGAAGAGTTGTGTCCTCAGTATCTGTTAAGTGTCTGTGGGGTAATCTGTCTGTTTTATACTACCCAGTTACTATCTTTGAAACTCAAGGGTTTCAAAGCACCGTGTAGAGCTGACATCTATCCTTTGGATGATTTGGCTGGACTTTTCATGCAGCTATAAGCTAATCGTTTTAATTATTTGGAAATATCCTTCATCCTGAACTAAGCATAGAGGACTTATTATTTGCTGTCACCTAAGTTCAAGAATTTATTGTTTGCTATTTTCAACATCTAACCTTGTTGATATATAATTTAAACCTTGTTGAAATATAACCTAGCACAATGACTTACATGAATTTCTGCCTTTCTTGGAAATGGCATCGTATCGGGTTAGAATATTTTATGGTTATTTTCAAAGCAGCATCTCCTCCAAGTATGACCTTGAAGCAGAACTATATATTTAGACTTTGCAAGTTGTTATGTTTCATTACTACTCTATTTACGTATTTTCAGCACAACAATTGGCTGACTCACTTTAAATGCTGTCCCTCTCCAATTGAAGCGAAAATAATGTCCATTGTTGACGTCTCTTGACCCACTCTAGTAGATATATTGCTGTTTCTCATGAGATCGCAGCTGGGAATGAACATTCTTGAATCTCTTTCACTTTATTCTATAACAATTTGAGTATTCTCTACACAGGCTGATGAAATAAAACAGATTTTCTAAATTCCAGTTGTTGCCCTGGATTTCCAATGATAAAATAGACATAATTTTGAGGGGAAAAGAGAACTGGAGAAGGTTTATTACCTGAAAGGTACTTGTCTGTAAGCACCTGATATAGACTGCACTTGCAAAAGAAGGTACCAGGTGTGTTTCTTGTAGTGGTGCGTGGGTTTAGTGTAGAATTCTTAGTGTTCCTAGTGCTCATGAAACCACTGAACTTTGTCTGCAACTTTGCCAAGTGTTATTAGATTATGTCCCCATACTGATAACACTCACTAGGAAGGTATCTACCTGCTCTTAATCACCTGTGTGTGTTTCTTCAACTGGATCTGAACCTCCCAAACTGAGAATGTGTTTTCAGAGGGTAATACAACTTGGATACTGTAGAACTCTGGAGATAATTTGTACAGCCCTTCATTACTTTGCCTCCCTAATGAGATAGTTCCTATGAAAGCCAACAAATTTAATTGTTGCTACGAACGAGTACTCAGTATTATGAGACAAAACTCCATAGTTTTTATGTATTTAAATAAACTACATGGAAATTAAGCTTAGGGAGGGGAAAAATCAAGCTGGAGAAGTCACAGTTCAGCCACGGAAGCCCCATTTTTAAGTGTTGCACATAGGCTCTCAACACGTTTCTTTTCCTTATAAAAAAAAGCCAACAAACTAAAATGGCCAGAAAGATGTAAACATGCTCCTAAAACACCCAGTCCTCGATTTTCTTTTCTTGTGTTAATTTTCATATAGTTGAGGAAACTTCTGTAATTTTTCCCAGTATTTAGGAATTGTCAATAACGGCTCACACTTACCTTTGTTTACACAAATATACATAACTGCGGACGTTTCTGAAATATAAGAGATTGCAAGAGAGTAATTTATGTTATTACAATACAGTAAAATCATATAAGTTTATATGAATTAGTATTTTAGTTATTAACAGTTAATATTTGAATGTTTAATTTTCTCCTTCCTCTTTACATTGACTCCACGTACAGCTCACTCAGCATCAATTTCTTAGTATGAGCTTCTTAATGAGCAGAGATGTTGCAAAATTAGTTTTATGGACTTTTTTCTTGCTTTCCCTAGTGCTGCAGTATATTTTAAACCTCTTATTAATGTAGAAAAGTAAGTAAGAGTTTAATTACAGTTCTCTACTCAGTGCTAAGCCAGATACTTGGCTTACAGCTGTCATAAGGGTTTATTTTCTCTGCCTTGCAACGACCTTAACTTGACCTAAAATGACTACTTTTGTAGGGATTGGAATGGTTGAGGCTTAGAAAGGTTCTTCTCCGTCACTTGGTGGTTGCTTCGTGTGTGTGTGTGTTTTACATGACATCATAGTGTCTGTACTATCAGTTCCTAACTAAGAAAAAATAGTTACACATATTTTAATGCGATTTGCATTAAACTGCTTCCATGTACTCAGTGGAGCAGCAGAGACATCGACACTGTGTTTTTCTTCTTAAATAATATATGCTGGACATACAGTAGGTTTAAGATATCTGTCTGTCTGTTTCATTACAAATCCATTTAAAATACTAATCATAATTCATGTTCCCTCATTCTTTCCACATTTAGGGGTGTTACCTGGGTTTGGAATAGCCAGCTGTCTCAAACACTATCCGCATTTTTAAAGGAATAAGAAGTCTTGGCAGACACTGGAACAATTAATTGGCTTTTTCAGCCAAGTCAGGTTAGGAAAGTATTTTGTGGGGAGGGGGCCGGGTGGGAGGGGAATACAACCTCCTGGTTTCAAGTTTGAGTTCTATTAACCCTTTAGGAATGGTAGTCAGACTTTTTGCTAAGCACAGTTCTCCATCTCTGACATTTGTGAAATTTATTTCTTAGGTGAAAAGATTCTAAACTATTAATTTACAGAATAAATGTTTTATTAGTGGAAGATGCCTGGGATGAGGTGGCAAGTGCTGAATCTAAATCATGATGGATTTAAAAATCTCTGAGGTGAAAGAAGCATTAGAATCTGTATTAAAGAATTCTAACCTCCTCCTAATATATACTTTTAGAGCAGCAGAAGAAGGAAGGTGGCATCTGAGGCACAGGATGATGCTATCTTCCTGTTGAGTTAGGATAAAATATTTTGATGTTGGATTTGCTGAGCACATTCCACACCTTGGCTTAACCACAGATACTTAGGTAATATTTAATTCCCAGTTCCCTAGATTTGCTTGTTTTCATTCCAAAACCAGAACAAGTACTAAACACCAAATTTTAATTACATATATGTTCTTGCATTCCTGAAATGTTTTGTTTGCAGTATTGGAATTGTTATGCAGTCTGCTTTTTCACAATTCTGTGTACCTTTTGGTGCCAATGAATCAATTTATGGCAAAAAATTTTCAACCCAGTTGCTTTCAACAGTTGGATGCTCT